AAAACATTTATATTTTATGTATCTATAAATACCTGAAATTATATTATTCAGTTTTATATAAAATATTTACAATTAAAAATGCATAAAATATTTTTGATATGACAGTATTAATAATATCATATCAAATATAATGACTACATAAATTCTATCAATTTAAATATAAATTATTTATATACACATAATACATTAATTATATAAGATGTTATATATAAAATTGTATTTATATGACACAGTATAGCTTCACAATATCAGACATGAATTAGTTATCAGCATAACAATATTTATTGGTTTACTGATTTACCAGAATTTCAAATTCGGTGCATTACTAAATAAAACCAAAACTGTCTCTGTCACCAAACCTGCATTCAGTAAATAACTAGCAGCTTTAAGCAGTTTGCTGCTGTGGTTTCCAGGTCGACTCACTTGACCGGATCGGGGACTTGAGCGCAGAGCGTCCGCAAACACTGGAAGCTCTTCCGGATGGAGTGGATGTTGGCCATTCCCATGAACATCACCTCACAGTTGGGGTAATACTCTGCCGGAAACACAGAGGGCGTTTCATGGATGAAATGTTTTATTCTACTAGCATTTAATTGAAAACATAAGCTCTGCAGCATTACCTGGACACTCACAGCCGCCTCCTTTCGCCCGATTGGCTACTGCAGCAGCGTACGAGCGTGCGTCCATTATTAACAGCTTCTGAGGGGGTGTGGTCTTTGGCTCCGCCTCTGCGCTCCCATTGGCCGTGTGAGGATCAGAGTCACTGAGCGCACCGCTGCTGTGATGGTGAAGGCAGGAGCCGTTAGCCTGCGCTGTGTTTGCGGCCGGATCCGTGACGCAGGCTTTAGCGATGGCTTGTACTAAATGCTCATCGTCAGCATTACGCCAACCCCACCAGCTGACCTCTGGCTGCCCGCATCGACCAATCACAGCGCCCGAACTCTGGTGTCTGGGTCAAAGGTTAAGATAAAGGTGAGTGACACATTTTCACTGACAGAAAACGTTGGACAGACGTTAAAATAAAAAACTTCCAGGTTCAATACTAGTTAAGTCTACATCAGAAAACATATATTTTTTAAAAGCAAAATTTTGGTTGCAGTGATGCACAATGGAAGTCTAAAAGTAGCATCCTAAGATTTCTGCGATTGTTGCATATTAATTTGATGACATTTTAAAAGATTAATTCAATTGACTTTTATGTTTTTAAATTGTTTAATGCCTTCATTTGATTGCCAAAATTACAATTTGTATTAAAGCATAAATCCAAAACAATTAAAACAGAAAACGCAAAAATGTTAATAAATTGTTAAATTGTTAAACTTTTATGAATTCAATTTATTAGACATGATTTTTGATTATTAGAATTGAATTAAACCATTAAAACAGAATCCAGAAAGATCAAAACAGAAAATACAATTTCGGGACAATAAATTTTTTTTAATTTAACCAACAAAAAAAATCTAGAAAAATTAAAACAGGAAAAAAAAAAAAAATGTATTATAGGGCCCTGAAAATGTAATTTTTGTTAAACTTTTAACAGTTAGTTGTTAAATTGTAGCAGTTTCATGGTTTCAATTCATTAGTTTATTCAATTAACATGCTTTTTTTATGACTACATTTTAATTTTACCAATAAAACTGAATCTAGAAAAATTAAAATGGAAAACGAAAATCCAGAAAAATTAAAACAGAAAAAAGCATAATTTGGCAAAAAATAAAATGAATTTCATAGGGCCCTATAAGTTTAAAAGCAGCAATGCGAAGCTCATATTTTTATTAAAGCACTTAATTATTCGGTACAAAAAAAAAAAAGTGTGTGATCTGAGCTGTAAAGTGTTTAAATCAGCTAAACGATATTTGGTTATGCATTACTGACATAATTCCTGAGTAAGTTTACTCGATGTAAACAGTGCTTTATGGGTAGTTATGCAATTCCTTTCTAGTGTCCTAGAGCATGTAATTAATGTGTTTACTGACTTCACATGATCATGACAGGACTCCACAAACATTACGCTGACTTTTTCTGCAGAAGTCAACACTGTATCAAAGTGCAAACGGAGAAGCACCTGTAAACAACAACCGGGATCCTCTTCCACGATCTAAACGCTGCCACGTTCTCCAGCTCCTGGTCGCTGACCGCAGCAGGCACCATTATTTGCTCTGGGTAACTGGCACAAAGCCTGCGGGATCAGAAGCACACACACACACACACATGTGTCATGATGAAGCTCCTCTGGCTGCTGGTGTGTTGCTGTGTTTCTGCTGTTTCACCTGTAGTTGCTGTTGATGTTGGAGATTCTCCAGGCACTGTGGCTGTCGAAGCCCATCCTCTCCAACTCTCGCTTGAACCTCCGCTGGTGTCCTCCTGCAAACACACACCAAAGCTTTAAAATCATGTGGATATTGACACCAGATTTACAGATCAGACTTCGTTTGTGTGGATCTTGCATCAAGCCTGACATCGGTGCATCATTACACGCTGCTTCATAAATACCTGCATTGCAAAAGACTGTTTTGATAATCAGAATTACAGTGCATTTATCCTTATTTTCAATGCACTACACAATATTTAATGCTGAATACAACCCATCTGATAATAGATGTTATTGTAATGCAAAAATGCAATTGTAATGCATTAATTGTAAATAAAAATGCAATTGTAATGCATTAATTGTAAATGTAATTGTAATGCAAAAATGCATGGAAAGTGTTATTTAGGTATTATTTATATAATATATACAGCATACTATATACTAGTATATATTATTACTAATTATAGTTTTCATTAATATTTGAAATCAGCTTTAATTTTTATATTTTCAGTTTTTATTTTGATTTAAAACTTTTAACAAATTTTAGTTATTTTAGTACATCAGTGAAGATGAGAAATGCTTTCTTTGCAACAAGCTGAAATGAAATAAGTTTTAATAATAATAACAACTATATATAGTAGACTAAATATAGTATAATAAATTTTATTATTATATATTAATATATTATTAGAATATTTTTATTATATTATTTCATATTTATTATTATATAATAAATATAATATTTTTATTAATTTAAGATTTTAATTTATTTCAGTAAATGTTTCTTTTATTTAAAGTAATTTTTTGTCATTTTGCTATGTGCTTTTGTCATTTTTATTAGTTTTATTATTTTATATATATATATATTAATATTTAGGTTTAATATATTTTTAACTTTCAGTTTTAGTTTTTATGTATGTATTTCTATTTTATTTAATACCATTTAATTCTATTTTATTTCTAATTCTATTTTTATTTTTAAACTTATTTCAGTTGCCAAGACAACATTTCTATTTTTCATTAGAAAATTCTAATATTTATATTTTATTTTTGCTTTATTTCAATTAACAAAAATATTTTTAATAGTTTTAGTTTTAGCTAACAATAATAAGCTCCATTATCACATGACTTCAGAAGACATGAAATATAGCACACGAGTCATACAACCTCTGTTGCAATACTTTTAATAAAGTTCTATGGTGCTTTTTGTCATTTTTGGAGCTCTAAAGCATCCGTCCTCTTTCACTTTCACTGTATAAGACAGGACAGCATGGATATGTTTTAAAACATCTCCTTTTCTGTTCCACAGCAGAGAGAAAGTCAGGGTTTGATACAACGTGAGGGTGAGTAAATAATGATATCATTTACATTTCTGAAAGATCAGTAAATCGGTTTAAGGACCAGAACCTGTAAAACACAAACGTCCAGTACCTGCACGGCAGATCCCATCATGCACCTCTCTGTCCTCGGCGGAGACGCTGGCGCTACACGAGAGGAAGGCGAAGGCGAAGAGCTCCTCCAGCCGCGCCGGCGGTCGAACGACTGCGCTGACCCTCCGCAGCCAATCCTGACACTGCTCCGCCGACAGGAAGTTACACCTGAGCACAGATCAGACGAGCCCTGCAGGTTCCTGATGATTCACTTTCCTCATGAACATGCTGTTATGCTCGATTCAACAATGCACATTATTACGAAAGCCTGTTTCCGCCACAGTACAAAAAATAAAAAAGGTAATAGTCACTTTTTGTCTTACAATTAGGCCTGGGCGATGAAATGGTATCGATATTTATCGACGGTACACCTTCTTCGATAACGATATAGTGCACGATATAGGCACGTGCTATGAGTGACGCAGACAGCACACACAAACATGAACACGAGTGCTGTGCCTGCCTGTGATGAGGATTAATTAATATTAGTCGAATTTAAAATAAACATTTGCATTTGAATGCAAAAATGCTACAATCGAATGTTAGGTGTGTGTCAGGGAGCGTCATCAGTGGCGCACGAGATGCAGTGATGATGATGTAAGTGACGTTATTGCATTTTAATGTTTTGTTAGTCTAGCCCACGAGACGCGCCGCTGCTTTGTTATTCATTCAAAATATTAGAGAAATATAGAAGCTCAATGCATAGAAGTTCTTGATTAGGTTAAAACCGAAACCAAGCCATTCACACAGAACGCATATTCAGCGCATTTTCTAGACGGACAACACTGCATTGTTTTGCTCATTGCGCCCTCCTGTGGCCTCGGGAAACAAGCCAAAAGTTTAACCTATTTAATCTGCAAATATCTGAGATATTTGTTTAATTTTTATTTTGTGTTTGACTGTTAAAACAAAAAAAAATTGTTGTTTGTCTCAATAAATTGAGTTAATTTATAAATACAGTGGTTAAATGTAAAAAAAATGTCTATTGCTCTTTATTTTAAAAAAGGTTTAAAAAATGTCAATAATTATCGATACCGAACATTATATCGTTGATACACTTTTTTTTAGCTATATTGCCCAGCCTTACTCACAATTCAGACTTTCTCGCAATTCTGCTAAACGAGAAAACTCGAGAAGAAAAGTCCAAAACTCCCAATTACGTGAAAAAGGTAAAGTAAAAACAATTATATTTTTTATTCTGTGGCAGAAAAAAAATTGCGAGATTTAAACTCAGAATACAGAGAAAAAAAGTCAGAATTTTGAGAGTCTGAGTTTATTTCTCGCAATTTTGACTTTTTTTTCCTAAGAAACAAAAAAAAAACCTGAATTGTCAGAAAAGTCAGAATTCTGAGACGATAAGTCAGACTTGTGAGATATAAACTAGTAATTGTGAGAAAAGTCACACCCAGAATTAAACTTGCAATACTGAGAGGAAAAGAACTGAGATATAAACTCAGAATTGCAAAAAAAACAGAATTGTGAGATCTTGTAAGAATTACAAGAAATAAACGCAGATTTGAAAGATAAAAAGTCAGAATTCTGAGTTTATATCTTGCAATTCTGACTTTTTTTTCTCTGAATTGCGAAATAAAGTGCAAACTAGTGTTGTCACGGTACCACAATTTCAGTATTCGGTACCAATACCAGTGAAAATCCACGGTTCTCGGTACCAAAGCAAAACACAAAAACATGCTAATTAAAAAATTTGACTAGACTTTCATTTAATCCAAACTGTGTACATATTTAATTTTAAAGGGCTTTTGAAAACCTGGAGTTATTCAGCCAAGAATAACAACTAACTAAGTTAGCTATAAATAAAAATAAAAGCCCAGAACTGCTTTTCTGACTGATATGACACAAACAGTTAACCATTTGTACATTCTCTAACGCATATTTTAGATTCACAATTCATTTAAAAGCCTCTGGTGTGTAAAAATAGTAAATAGTTAATAAAGAAACTTCATTCTAATGCTCATTATATTAGCGTTAGCCGCGCTTATGCTAACGATTAACTACTCTAATAACGGCGATGTTCATTTCAATCCGACATTCGAATTAAAATATTGAATAATATTCATAACAGAAGCGGTGTTTCCCACAGACTTGCACTCTATTTGTGGCGGCATATATATGCAAATCCATTCTCTGCCAGCAGGAGGCGCTTGTAGAGCAGAAGAGATACAGATTTCCCCGCTAACGGCTGCAATCAAAGCAGCACACCGCTCACAAACGCTGCTTTATCAGGAATTACAGGCAAGATGCCATGAAAACGACATCCATAATTACATTTATATACAGTGATATAAAAACTCCCGCACCGGGTTTCGACTTTGACATCTATTTGTGGCGATGAGTTTTGATATTGTGGCGGGCCGCCACTAATAAATCAATGTATGGGAAACACAGATCTAAATATTAAAAATTAAAATGAAACTTACCTGCTTGAACTCTTTCATTTGATCCGGGTGTCTGTCTTTAAAGTGTTTTGTTAGTTTGGTGTGTTTCCTCGTTTTGAGGTCGCCACGTCTCAGTGCTTTTATGAAGACAGCGCATCTGCGCACCTTTCGGATCGCGCATCAAGAACCGGGTACCGTAACGTTTTCATTTTTTTAGTACCGACTTGGTACCGAAGTACCGGGTCTTGACAACACTAGTGCAAACTGTGAGATATAAACTCGCAACTGCGTGGAAAAAAAGTCTGAATTGTGAGATAAAAAGACACAATTGCCTTCTATTTTCACCAGTTTTCCTCTCCACAGCACAATGCAGCACTGAGGATATTGTGTGCATTTGTTAGTCAAAGCAGACGTACCTGATGAGCTTACAGTCCTTACAGGTGAGATGCAGCTGCGTCAGATCCCGACACTCCACACTTTCAATCAGCTGCAGAGGAACCTGCACACATTCACAGGAAACTGTCTCTTTAGGCCTTGAGGAGGAACAATTATTCTAATTAGTGCTAATTAGACTCTAAACTCTAATTAGAGTTATTTTAGTGTCACTGAGATACTAGTATAGTTTATTAATAGTTTGAATTAGTTTTTATATTTTACATTTTCATGTTAATTTTGTGTCATTTTTAGCAGTTTTAATAACAGTTTTTATTAATTTTATATTTCAGTTTTTAAATGTAGTTATTTAAAAAAAAATTAAGTAACACTAAATTAAAAACTGAAATGTTTTCTTTGCAGTTTTTTTATAAATCTTTTTTTTTTTTAATGCAATATTTAATTTTTTTGCGATTTGTTTTTGTTCAAGTAACACAAATGTTTCTTATCGTTTTAGTTTCCGTTTCAAATGTATCGATTTGAATTTGCTGTCCTTCTAAAACAGCATTCGCTCACATTCAATTTCAACATTTGTGCTCAACAGAAGAAAGAAAGTCTACGTGAGGGTGAGTAGATGATGACAGAACTTTCCATTTTGGGTCCTTTTAAAGCATTAAATGCATTTATTAGTAATAGACGTGCTATTAAAAGTGTTTGATCTGCGACAGGATTATATTTTTGAGATGGTTTATATTACGCGACGTCACGACTGGGACTATAACATTCAAACTATGTGTCTAATTAAAACAGGTACTAATTATGTGCTTTGTAATTCTACTTCAAATATTATTGTGCATGACTCTAATAGCCATAATAAAAGCAAAAAAGCACTCGCTGGGGTATATTTGTAGCAATAGCCAACAATACATTGTATGGGTCACAATTATACATTTTTCTTTTATGCCAAAAATCATTAGGATATTAAGTAAAGATCATGTTCCATGAAGATATTTTGTAAATTTCCTACAGTAAATATATTAAAACGTAATTTTTGATTAGTAATATGAATTGCTAAGAAATTAATTCGGACAACTTTAAAGATGATTTTCTCAATATTTAGATTTTTTTGCCCCCTCAGATTCCAGATTTTCAAATAGTTGTATCTCAGCTAAATATTGTCCTATCCTAACAAACCATACACCAATCGAAAGCTTATTTATTCAGCTTTCAGATGATTTTTTTTTTTAAATTGACCCTTATGACTGGTTTTGTGGTCCAGGGTCACATTTACCTGAATTAAATGAAACAAGAATGCTGAAACTGTGAACAAATGATTATACTGCATGACAAAAATTGTATCAGTCTGTATATTAAGTAATATTAAAATGATTTCATTTTTATTTATTTGATTATTAAAATCAGTGTGAGACTCCGCCCACACTTTCTTCTGATTGGCTGTGATTTGTGATTGACACGGAATCTCAGCACAGACGCTCCGGTGTGGTTGTGTGTGAGAGAAACACTCACATTGATGAGGTTCTCCTGCAGCTTGATGTGAAGGCGGTAGCTGGTTAAGGCAATGACAGACTCCTCTGCTCTCCCGACACGCTCCACACACTCGCCCTGCAGCAGCGGGAACGGGACCTGCGTCACACACACCTTACTGTGAAACCAGCTTTATTTTACAATTTTACGTTTTCTGGATTCTGTTTTAATGTTCAAATTCTGTTTTGGTAATATATACCAAATATTATATTAGGGGCTATATATATTAGGGGTGTAACGGTACACAAACATGAAGGTTCGGTACGTACCTCGGTTTTGACGTCACGGTTCGGTACGGTTTCGATACAGCAGGGGGGAAACTAAACATAAAATTGCTTTTTTTTTTTTTATTAAACAGTGGTTTACTGAACAAATCGCTCTTTCTTTAAATAAATTCAATTAGAATTAAAATTTTCTTAGGGATAAAAATCTACCTGAACTATAGGGAGCCCTTTTACATTACTATAAGGTTACAGTTAACAACAGAGCCCAAACTTAAATTTAATTACTATTTGTGACCCTGGAGCACAAAACCAGTCATAAGGGTCAATTTTTTGAAATTGAGATTTATACATCATCTGAAAACTGAATAAATAAGCTTTACATTGATGTGTGGTTTGTTAGGATAGCACAATATTTAGCTGAGATACAACTATTTGAAAATCTGGAATCTGAGGGTGCAAAAATATCAAAATATTGAGAAAATCATCTTTAAAGTTGTCCAAATGAAGTTCTTAGCAATGCATATTACTAATCAAAAATTAAGTTTTGATATATTTACAGTAGGAAACTTACAAAATATCTTCATGGAACATGATCTTTACTTAATATCCTAATGATTTTTGGCATAAAAGAAAAATCTATAATTTTGACCCATACAATGTATTGTTGGCTATTGCTACAAATATCCCCCAGCGACTTAAGACTGCTTTTGTGCTCCAGGGTCACATTTATTTTTAAATATAATAATCAACATTCAACAAAAAAAAACAAATGCGTGTATGCAAACATATAAATTGCACATATTGCAGTTTTTAAATTACCTTCTAAATTATAACATTTCTATAATATATGCAATATATGCAGTGGCTCTCATAACTTGTCATTAAATAATGAAGACATCACTAACAGGTAAAGTGAAATATAATGAGTATATAGTCTAATATTTTGTGAAATGCTCTTCTCTAGACTTCATTTATAGCACACTAACGAGCTGCGGACACTGATGACTTCCTGAGGTAAATGAAATGCTACGTGACATTTCGTTTACAAGCTGTTTTATTGCCGTCTTTCCGTGGCTGAAACACTGATTGAGTGATTACATGAGACATGAGATGTTCATTCATGTTTATTTCATGTTAAAACTAGTAGAAAAGAGGGAGAGATGATCGCGCTGAAACACATGCGAACTGAACCGAAGGACTTGTACTGAAAATTTTTGAAATTACGAATACGTGTAGCCGTACACCCCTAATATATGTATATATATACACTACCGGTCAAAGGTTTGGGATCAGTAAGACTTGTAATGTGTTTTAAAGAAGTCTCTTCTGCTCATCAAGGCTGCATTTATTTGATCAAAAATACAGAAAAAAACAGTAATCTTGCAAAATGTTATTACAATATAAAATAATGGTTTCAATTTTAATATCCTTTAAAATATAATTTATTTCTGTGATGCGCAGCTGTATTTTCAGCATCATTACTGCAGTCTTCAGT